TGGATTGTTGATGCGCTTCTGGGAAATCACACAAGGTAGATCATGAATGGAATTTTTTTTTTATTTGAAATGTAATACCTTATGTTCCATCGATGTAAGAATTCATCTATTAGTCGAATGAAAAATTTGGCAAATGATGTTTTTCTTTAGAATAGCCTATGTTCTTCGTTTATACTTTAAATGTTCCTAGATTAATTCATGTTTGTTCTTTCATTACTTAGGGGGATATTGTTAGACCCCATAATTCTTATGTGTAAAAGTAATGAAGAAAAACAAGTGATGAAGAACCAAAAGGCCAATGGAAGACTTCAAGGCAAAATGGCTAAGTCTGAAGAACAACCAGAGGGTCGATAAATCGACCAGAGATGCGATGGAAAGAGCATCTTCATATCCCCTCTGGTCATTAACACTTGAAGTTTTCCTCACTAGTTCAACCAGAGGCATGCGATGAAGATATGAAGATAAGGTTGAAATAACGCCCCATGGAAGACAGCTGGAGATGACTAATCAACAGCTGGATTCTACAAAGTTTATCTTGTTTTGTTGATTATCCATGTTTAGATAAGCTTTATATTTTCTTAGAAGATTAGTTAAATAGTCTCATTAGATAGTTATCTTCTTGTCTAGATTACTAATATAAATAGATGGTTAGGCCTATTGTAATCTTTGACTCTTCTACGTTTTTCACAACCATTGAAATAAAGTGAAACATTTGACACTCAAGTATATTCTTTGAATGTTCATCAATTGTTCTTGAGTGTTCATCATTTTATTCATCCAAACTATATAAAGAATGTTATTCTTAACTTAATTATTAGTGTTATTGAGAGATCTGGGATCAATAGTACATATACCATAATTGATAATACTTAGCTGGTTAAATTAAGCATAAAAATTTGTATGTTTTGATGGGTTTCTCAATCCATATATACACACATGAGGAAATAAATCATTATTGTAATTGAGTCCTAATTTCTTTCTCGCCCGGCCCTAGGCACGTGCAACCCGTGCGGCCGCACAGGGCATCAAAGCCCAAAGGGGCATCAAATTTTTATATGGACTATAGTATTAGTTTTCATTTTTGGGCCTTTTAACCATTTGGGTTTAAAAATTGAAGACTTGGGCTTTAAATCTTTAATTGTAAACAAGCCCTAGCCCAAACCCAAGATTGAATTGGACGCGCCTCATTTCATCCTTGCTGTTCCTGTTCGAAAGGGAAGCCTGTTCGATTTTTTTTCATTTTGCCGACAAGTGACGACGTTCCGATTCCAGAGGCATAGCCATAGGGGAAGATGATTAACAATAACGGTAACTACTCTAACAAGCAAGGCAAGGGCAACGGTTGTGTCCATGGCCTTGAATCGAGGAGTTGACGTGACGATTGGATGAGTGTTCTTGACCTATTGGACTGGTCCGCCGACTGCCGTCTGCTCTGTCCATGGACCATGGTAACTGGTAAGTCGCCTACTCTCCTACACTCCACTATATATACAGATATACTCGAACTCTCGAAGTCTCACTGTCTCAAATGCCAAATCTCATTATCTCAATCCTTCATTGTTTGATTTAATGATTTGTTTCTCAAATCTCAATCCTTCAATTCATTCTTCAAATTTGAAATTTAGATAGTAGATACAATCAATTGGTGGTTTGGATTTTGGAAATTGGAAGTTTTCAAGTTGGAACTATTGAACGGGAGTCTGGATTGGAAGAGGCCGAAGGGTTAAGAGGCAACTGGCAAGAGCCGAGAGTGACTGTGTTTGTGTGGATTTCATTGGAAATTTGCAATGTTTCTCAAAAGTCAAACAAGGTATGATTTTGTTTCAACTTTCTTTCTTAAAAATACAGTCAATTGCATTTACTGATTTGCATTTGCATTATTTATCAAACCATTAAACCCTTTTGTTCTTCTGTAGATTGTTCCATCTTAATTATGCTAATGCCTAACAATAACATAGATTGTTCTTGATCCAGCTTCATGCTCTTGATTTTTCCTGACCACAGTGACCAACTTGGAAAAGGGAAAACCAGAAAGAAAGGAAGCACAAGCTTAATCCAGGTTTTATCCTTCTATGCTTGTTGCTTGAATATTGTTTGGGTATTTGTTGCTTGATTTTCATAAGATATTAAACATGTTTCCTAGATCACAATCATCAGGTGCACAAAATAGAAAAAGAAAGAAAAGACAACAAGAAATTACTCAATCTTTACAGGGATCGTTAAATCGATATTTTGTTAGGCATAAAAATGTGTCTGAAAATCTCATTGAAAATGTGCCTGAAATTCCCATTGGAAATGTTTCTGAAAATCCCACTGAAAATGTTTTTGAAAATCCCACTGAGAATGTTTCTAAAAATCCCACTGAAAACGTTTCTGAAATTCCCAATGATTTTGTTGAAAATATTGAAAATCTGTGTACTAATGAAGTTGGGGATGATGAAAATCCATGTAATGATGAAGTTACTTTGAATATTTTTGATCCAAGTGTTTGGGATGACTTAGATTCAAAAATGAAAGATTTGCTTGCTGAAAAAGGGCCTATAAGGGAAACCAACATCAACTTTCCAAATGATAAARTAGGTAGACACTTTTCTTGTGAACATTATGTCCGTAAATTACGAAATGGTGATTCTTATGATAGAAAATGGTTGGTTTATTCAAAAGAGTTAGATAAAGTTTTTTGTTTTTGTTGTAAGATATTCAAAACTGCTTGGTCTAGAAGTCAATTAGCTACCGAAGGGATAAATGATTGGAGGCATTTAGGTGAAACATTAAGTTTGCATGAAAATAGTTCTGAGCATATGATTAACTTGAGAACTTGGACTGAGTTGCGAGTGAGATTGAATAAAAATCAAACAATTGATAAAGAATTACAAGAATTGATTAAGAAAGATACAGATCATTGGAAAGAAGTTTTGATTAGAATAATTGTTGTTGTGAAGTGTCTAGCACAATATAATTTGGCTTTTCGTGGATCAAACGAAAAAATTTATCAAAATTCTAATGGGAATTTTTTTGGGTATACTTCAAATGATTGTGGAGTTTGATCCTCTCATGAAACAACATTTTCGGCTAATTAAAGACAAAAAAACTCATTATCATTATCTTAGCCATAAAATTCAAAATGAACTGATTCAACTGTTGGCATCTGAAGTTAAGAGTGTGATTATTAAACAAATCAAAGAGACAAAGTATTTTTTCATAATTCTTGATTGCACTCCTGATGCAAGTCACAAGGAACAAATGAATTTGATTATAAGATGTGTTGATATGTCGTGTGCTCCCATAAGTGTAGAAGAGTTCTTCTTAGAATTTTTGGTTGTAGAGGATACATCTAGTTTAAGTCTCTTCACTTTGTTACAAGATGTTTTGAAATCTCTAGATTTAGACATTAATTGTGTGCGAGGACAAGTTTATGATGATGGATCTAATATGAAAGGAAAACATCAAGGTGTTCAAAAAAGATTGCTTGATGTAAATCCTAGAGCATTTTATATGCCATGTGGTTGTCATAGTTTTAACTTAGATTTGTATGATATGGCAAATTCTTGTCATAAAGCAAAAACTTTTTTTGGAACATGTCAAACAATATACAATGTGTTTGCTAATTCTACTAAACGATGGAATGTTTTACTTGAGTTTATTGATGATTTGACTTTGAAATCTTTGTCTACTACCTGTTGGGAAAGTCATATAGAAAGTGTTAAAGCTATAAAAAGTCAATTTACTCAAATAAAGGAAGCTTTGTTGAAATTATCTCAAATTAGCGATGATGAAAAATTATGTAGAGATGTTGAATCTTGTGTAAATGGTGAACTTTCAAGTTTTGAATTTATTGTCAGATTGGTTATTTGGTATGAAATTTTGTATAGAATGAATTTAGTTAGCAAAAAGTTGCAATCTAAAGATATGCTACTTGATGTTGCGGTCAAAAATTTAGAGGTATTGGTTTGTTATTTTGAGAAATATAAGAAGACTGGACTTACTTCTGCCATTATTGAAGCTAAACATATTGCAAATGAAATTGGAATTGAGTCTGAGTTTCCTATAAAACGTTCTTATTTTAGAAAAAAAAAACAATTTGATGAGATTCCAAATACGGAAAGAGAACAATAATCAGCTCAAGAAACATTTAGAACCGATTATTTTCTTGTTTTGGTTGATATGGCTTTATCTCAATTGAAGACTAGATTTGAGCAAATCAAAAATTTTGAATCGATTTTTGGTTTCTTGTTTGATGGGTCAAGGTTGGTTCATTTAAATGATGAAGAATTGAAAAACTCTTATATGAATCTTGAAGTTGCATTAACAAATGGTGATGATTGTGATATTGATGGGAAATATTTGTTTATGGAATTACAAATTTTACAGGAAATGTTATCGTCGGAAGCATATAAAGGAGAAAAGTCATGCATGGACATCAATTGAGATTTTGGAGTTTGCAAAGAAGATGGATATGTTTCCAAATATGTTGCTTCCATATACGATTTTACTGACTGTACCCATCACGGTAGCATCTATTGAAAGAAGTTTTTCAAAGCTAAAGTTAATGAAGTCATATTTGCGGTCCACCATGAGTCAAGAAATGCTAAACGGGTTAGCAATTTTGAGTATTGAAAGTAAATTTTTAGCGAATGTTGAATATGAAAAATAATTGATATTTTCGCTTCAAGAAATGCACGAAGACATCGTTTTAAGTGATATACTTATATTTGGGGTTTTGGTTTTTATGTCCCCCTTTTATTTTTTATTTTAATAAAAATCGTATCTTTTGTAGTGAAATTGTATGTTTTGTCGTTTCATTTGCTTAAGAAAAAGGCATAGGGACATATTTTAGCATCAAAAACCTCAAGAACGACGCCTGTTTATTTAGAATTCCTAATTTTGAGATGAAGTATAACTAAATACCATATAAAACTCTTAGAAACAACACATCTGAAGCTTGATCCGATGATGATTTGGACAACACAAATATAAGCAAAAATAGCTACCCCAAGCCCCTATTTCTTCTTCTCCTTTGTTGTTTCACGAAGAAGCTCCTGTAACAGACGATCATCCAAATACTCGAGTACGATCACATGTTTCTCGTTTCCTGTCGACGAACCTCCTCTACTCGTGTTACAACCCAATGAAGAAGAAGAAGAAGAAGATGATGAAGACCGGAATGAAGGAGGGTCCGGGAGTTTCGACAAGTACTCGGCCGGAAAGTTAAGGGTCGCAAGATGACCCCTTAGGTTGAAGGCGGCGTGATCATAAGCACGGGCCGCCTCTTCTGCAGTATCAAATGTCCCGAGCCATGTGCGCTGCCCGTTTTTTGTCGGGTCACGAATCTCAGACGCGTATTTACCCCATGGACGCTTCCGGACACCCCGGAAGCGGACCTCGTTTTCATCGTGATGCATGGCTTTTCCGTTATAAGTAGGACCACCGCCTTCCATAATATGAATCGTCTCTTTGTTACTTACTTCCGATGTGATTTTATTTATAGGGGGGTTGAAAGCATTCAAAATGCAAAGGTGGCGTTTGACTTGAGATCTGCATGGAAATGTTGATGATAGATGCAAAAAAGATTCGGATCATGTTTCGACCAAATCTATGTTCTAAAATACCTACCATCTTTTTAGGGTTCCAGTTAAGATTTTAGAGTTTCTAGATTAGAAATTATGCAGAAACACACCCTGAAGGTTTCGTCTAATATTCACCATGCATATTAATCATGTCAAATAATGCTTGGTCATGTGAAGTTTCAATATTCTTCGAATTTTTGTGTTTTGTTGTAAAGGTTTGGTAAAATAAAGAAAATATGTGAATAATTAAAATAATTTATATGTGAATTATACGAGTTCATATATGAACATATAGTTCACATGTGAATTACATAGTTTCATACATAAACCCGTTTACCATCTATTTGTAAAAGTTATAAAGCTACTCTCTAGTTTTTGAATAGCGGCAATTTTTGACCAGTTAAAACCGTAATTATTGACCAATCGAATCCAATCTTGACCGTATAAAAGGCTAGAGAAGTGATCCTAGCCTTGAACTGTGCGATTTTGACTGTGAAGCACTGGATAATTCATCGCACGGTATGCGGAAGATTGAGGGGTAGTTTCGTGACTTCTACAGATAGTCGACAAAACAAATGCATATGTGAACCCATGTAATTCACATATGAACTAATTAACTGATTCACATATGAACTAATTAACTGATTCACATATGAACCTGTGTGATTCACATACGAATTATGGGTTCACATATTCACTTGTTTGCTACCTATTTGTGAAAGTTACGAACATACCTCTCTATTTTTTGTTTGACCAGTAAAAGCCATAAACCTTGAACAATCAAAACCACAATTCTTGACTAATCTTGAGCAGTCGAAATCGCAATTCTTGACCAATCTTGATCATATGAAGGGCTAAAATCACTTCTTTACTTCTCAAATACTTAAGACTTCGGAAATAAACTTCTAAAATATTGATCACGTGATACTAAATTATATGTTTAGGATGCACAATCTGATTAAGCATCTATTAGATAGGCATATATGTATGTATGTATATATCACTAAGATTGGAGGGAAGATGCGATGGACGAGATTAAAGATTTTATACCCTCCTTTTATTTTTTATTCTTTAACCTATTTCCTTCCTCTTTCCCTTGCTTTTTAGATCATTCCATTTGAATCTCTCAATTAACTATCATCAATACCCTAAGTTTTTACGGTCTTAATTCAAACAGTTAAGTCGAATATATGTTTCGGGTTCGTTAAGTATGTTCTATTTAGATTTCCTTCAATGTCAAAAATAAAAATGAACTACATTTACGGACGTTGTTTATGTGTACTGTGATGAAACATCGATCACGGTTTCTAAGAAAGTTCTTGAAGCTTTTAGAGGAAGATCAATAGGGAATATTTGCCTACAAACGTTGAATAGCTTGCTTGTTAGGTTATTTGAATGGTATCTAAATTCTTCTTTAATAATAATATATATTTATGTCTTTTAGTTAGTATATCAATGTTGGCGTGTTGATAAAGTATCTAATACATCATAAAATCAAAAAGTGTCCACGCATCTATACTACATTAATAAGTATTTAAATCAAAGTCTTAAATACAAGTTTTAATGTATTGAATACAAGCTTTTAAAGCACAAAATAAAAATTCTCTTAATTACAAGGTTGTATGCATGATGTACAACATATTAATACACTGATTTTCACCACAACCAAAAATTGAGTCCTAGACTCCTTTTTCTTCTACAACCATCTCAAGTGCTCCCATTTGGTATAAGCTTTCTTTTCTATCCTCTCTATAAAGTTTTCTTTTCTTTTCTTCAACATCCATTTTTACACATAAATACCCACTGAAACACAATTAAAAAAAGTTAAAATTAAAAAAAAAAACCATAAATACCCACCCTTCAATCTAGTATGTCTTCGAGCACTACCTGTTGCCACTCCCCAGCCTGCCGTAGCCGTCACCACTCGCCACCATCCAGGTCATCGTCATCGTCACCATTCGTCACCGGTCCAGGCCGTCGTCATATCCAAGTTCGATTACTCTGACTCTGTTATGTTCAATTACTAAGATTCGATCACTTAGGTTACAAATCCCTTAAAGTTGGTGTGTTTTGTTCGTTTTTCTTATGGTTGAATTTTGAGGGATTATGCTTAATAAACGATCTCTTCTTGGACATTTTTTTTGAAAGTGTCATGGCTCCCTAGGTTTTCATTCACATCCATTATGTCAAACATTACATTCTTTCCTACATAATTTGTATAAAATAAAGCTTATTTTACATGAAATGAAGTTGATAATCTCACATTAGTCGGTTTGAGCTTGACTCCAAAGATTAAAAGTATCAGGAGGTCCCAGGTTTAAATTCAAGGAGGAATAAAAATCCTCTTGTGGCTACGAAGGTTCAAATGCGGTGACTCCGGGCAATCTGCAAAACACGTGGTCGTCCGGGGATTAGTCGACTCGCATAGTGGGTTGGATATCCAGGTTAATAAAAAAACAATTATAGATCAACTAATTACAACTCCAACAATCTTCAAGTTCGTGACGATATCGGATACAAAATAAAGTTTGTTTAACTTAATGAGTCGAGCTTCATGACACTAATGTTCCACTCATATCGTTTAAAAACTTGATTAGGTTGAGCCGAGCAATTCGGGCATATACTTTTTCGAACAAAACATGTTCTTGTTTTCATGAATCATACATTCAAAAATATAAATGTATTGAGCTCGAGTCAATAAAGAAGTTGATCAATATCGAGTTTGAACGCATAAACGAGTTTGCAAAGCTTGAATTTTTGGTACAATGTTTGTTAAACAATCATCGGACTCGAACATTGAAAAACTATGATAGCTCGAGTCTTACTTTGAATAAGTCATTCGAGCTCGAACTTTATGTTAACTTTTCACGCCAAATTCATTCCATTCGACTAGACTCATTAGCGGTAACAATTAACACAAATATTAACACTTATACATCAACTAACAAATCCTAACTCTAGTAATTAACAATTAAAAAAAATCTCTTAAATGCTTAAATTAAACAAAAGTTTATAAAGCTTTGGTAGGAATTATTTGCTTCGACGGTCGACCACAAACAACAATCGTTCGTTCCTGCATCGACATGACTCCGCCATGAGGCTGCTTCTATCAACATTTATTTTCGGATTACTATCTACTCATTTATACTATGTTATAAAACATTTGACAAAATCTCTTGAAAATCATTTTTTATGCATGAAGTACTGTTTATTGATACATATCACTTAAAATTCAAGATTACAAGTAAATTGTGTGTAAGTACTATCTAATAAAGTTTTATATTTAAATTCGTGTAACTAACTGTAGATAAATATATATAATCAAATAGATGATAGACATCTCATTTCAAATATAAAAAATCTAAAATATAATTAGGATAATCATTGAATTCTAACAAAAATATTTAATTATTATCTTTATAAAAAATTATAT